CATCTAGTTTGGCTGAATGATGCGGCAACCACATAACTGATATTTCACAAAATGAATTTGTGTGCACTAAATTTTTATACAAGTTGAATGCACGGAAAGCAGTCAGAATGACAAAACGTTTCTGCTGCTTATGTAATAAACTCTAGTTAGATTCGTTTCACTGTACATGCTTTCATATATTTGTATAATTTTTTCCCCGGCCTATTTACTGAATAGGCCAGATATGTTATAAAAATGAATGAGCTAAAGGGGCCCTGCAAGGATTTTTTTACTAGTTGTTAATTTGCACCGAACCTGAGCACACTGAACGCAGTAACTTAATGAAACTTTTCTTCTCTCCAATTTCGCTTTATTTTAAAAGTTAATAGGCAAATTAAAATTACAAAAACAAGCAAAAAATAACCTCCTTCATGACGTCATGCTCACGGCTGCTGCACTCCATGTCGACAGCTCGAGAGGGCACCACTGAAGCATGTTCTGGATAGGCTGTATGAAACGGGCAGCCAGGACGGCTCGCATTGCATTTGCTCCGCGATTAAACACTAATTCGGCATGACACTTCGTTGGCCACAAGCGACAGCAAACACGGGGTAAAGATCAGTTCAGAATAGGAGCCATTTTGCACTGCCATGCTGCCATACTGCCAGACGTCCAAACCGCAAGCCAAACCTCGCCGAAGGCCTTCAAAACGCTCGGAACCGGTCGGATCCTGGAGCCCGTATGACTGCAGCGTTGCCGCGTACATCCGGGGCCTTTCTACGCTCGCCGCTTGTTGGTGCCCGACCCCACTACCCGTTTCTAGTATACGCTGCCTTTTCCACTGTTAGTGGCGGGCATGTCAACGGGTCATTTCTTGTTTCCGTAATTTCTAAACTGCATTTCTTTCTTTTCTGATCTAAAATACTGAACAAAAACTACTTTCAGAAATGATTGAAACGGTTCGCGCCACTTATATTTCATATTTCGACTAAAAAGAAGGTTTTAGCGGCTCTGACCAGCAGTAAACCCAGGACGAAAAACTTCCCATATCGCACACTTTCGGCACCGCAGGTCGCCCCTGTAGGTGGAGGAGGTTTTCACGTCGTACGGTTAAAATATGACGCATTAATATTTAGTTACCCTCTTCGTGCCCGCTGGCTTGCCCGAACCCCGAGATATGTGGAAACTGCAAAAAAAGGTAGACGATTAAATATGATTGCAGGGCCCCTTTAAAATTATGATCACTCTTACATACTCTGCCAAATAATTTCTTTTCTGCAAACTCAATTTGCATCAAGTACACACTGCATCACTGTTAGTATGAACAAGCTATCACCAATTTTGTTTTCCTCCCAGTACTGAAGGACTGTCATCAAGATTACTATTAGCCTCGAGAGCGAACACAAGCGTCGCTGCAGTCGCCGCGCCCTGATTGGGTGAGGCGTACCGTGACGTCAGGGCGATGACTCGGCTCCGCGATCTCGCGTCGGCTCGCTTCCCAGCACCGGTTTCCTGCTTTGGCGTTGTGTGCCGCAAGCTCTTCGAAGAGCTGGACTTCGTTTATCCGATGTACAAGACGTTGAGTTAGGCCGATATTGACGTGCTTCCGTACATTTTATAAGCCTGCTTGTCCCCTTTACCTTTAAAATTGGGTTACAAATCCCGAAAGCTATCGGCGGAGGCAATTCCGCCGATAAACCTCCCCGTCCGTCCACACGTCACAAGGCAATCTTGCGAGGGGTCGGTGAAGCGGTGGCGCAAGTGTTTCAGACGCTGGAATTCTGTCCCTTGCATGTTCATGATTTAGGACGATATTACATCCCGCTTTCAAGGCATTTGAAGTGGCAATCATATCATGGGCCTTTGGGTGGACGGCAAATTAGCTCAGACTCCGACTTTGCGCTGCCGCTCTGCATACGCTGGTTCGCAGATGTTTTAAAGGCCCTGTGTTTGATTATCTTTGAAGTGCTCATGGAACAGGGTTGTTTTACATAAATGTAGCTCCTTCGTAAATTAATTATATAGTTTATACTCGTATGCGGGCATATTGTTTAGAAGATACACAATTACTGGAAATTAGTTTGTATGGTAGCAGTAAAAACGGCCGAATTGCCTGCAGTTGCCTGTATGATATGTATTGAACTGCCCAAAATATGCGCAGCAATAGTGCCGTAATTTGGAATGTTTATACTTTTTCCTGACATTTTTATTCCAGCCTTGGGTATTCGGAAAATACACTGTTTAGTCTGAATTGTCATTCCCAATTAAAAGAGACACTGCTGCAGGTCTCCAAAAGCTTCCTCAGCCTCCAAACTCCCAACAGCTGGACTCTCAGACAACAGAGGAAAACAGGAGTAAAAGCAAGCTTTCGAACGTCTGTCCAGTGGTAGTTGCAGCACCAGTAGCACAAAATGTGGAACCCGTGAAAGGCGACAGTCTGCGTGAGAAAAGGTTCTGGTATTTTAGCTTCAGGACAATTCGATTTAAGTAAAATCTCAATTTTAGGGCTTAACGGACTAATAACGAGCTAGACACCTTCGCTTACGTTTGTTATACATTACTTGAGGGTTGATATAAACAAGTCCACAGATATCATTCGTGTAGTCCATTGAAATACTATCCGAATCCAGCAAAGGTCAAATTCGAGCAATGTATATAATAAATGTTCCTTGTTTTTTTTACTTTGCCCCTGCACTTGAGCTGTCTTACTTGTGATTCTCTCCCCATGGCCCAGACTGTATTTAGCATGTTGCCCGAGCAGCATGCAGCTTTTCTGCTTCGGCGATCTTGTTTAAAAACGGAGATACAAAACAAAAAATAGTATACATAACCTGCCAATTCATTCAGACCATCAGCAGCATTTATTGCGCGAGATGTAAATCTGTAGTGATGCTCCTGCAATTGTGGCCATATTTCTTTATTTTCATATACCAGCTGCGATTCATGCGTTGCCTGCCCTGTCAACCATGCTTAAAATGTTGGTTGAAGTTTCGCCTGTAGCTACAGGTCATACCTCAATAAAGGCACATAAAAAAAATTACACTTCCTACAAAAAACACGCCAAAAAAAATTATATAGAAACGAGCGCGCCGACACCTGGCGTCGACACAGCCTCCACAGGGCGAGCCGGGGGTAAAATTCTCTCCTCGCCGTGACATCACCCCGGTTTGCCGTAAGGGCGCGCCACGCGAACTTCTCGGGGCTAGTAGTGGTGAAAAGGGCTCACTTTGGGTACTAACCCAAGTGGAAAATTTTTATGCCTGCCCGTTTCGAAATGAAATGCAAAAAAGTGCCAAAGTCATGTTCATGGAAACAATGTCGAGAAGTGCACAACCAATCAACAAACCCTCCAAATCAAAATCAATCCGGTTTTATGCTTTGGACCACTTTAACTGGAACCATTCTGTTCAAAAACCCAATAAAAAGCAACCAATAAGTATGGTGATGTCACAAAATAATAAAACTGACTTGTACCATTAAGAACTCAGCTCCGATATCATTTCATTAATGAAGTAGGTGAAACAAAGGCTCAAAATGTGATAAATGCCAGGAAAAGGGTGGGGCTCTGTGTCCTGCTCCTAAATGACCGCACACCACACGTATGCGCTTGCCAAGGCGAAGCATGCAGCTAGCTGCCGGAGAAGCGCAGACATGAAACTAAACATTCGAGAAAAATCTCTCTGGTTGGGAAACACAATAATTAAAATATGGCAACCAACCAAGTCCTAAACATGTAGGAGCCCTACGTTTCGAACCGAATTGGTTCTTCGTCAGGGGCGACTGTGACCGTTGAGGAGCCGCGTTTTTCGGTCTTCTTTTTCTTCTTTCAGAAATGTGGCGCATTTCTCTATCTTCTTTCACAGATATGGTGAAGCCCGTTTACATACACTGCTGGTAAAGCACCAAGGCACCTATTTATGTTGCCTGGCGTCGTTTGAATGTACCAGGACTTGATGAAAAGCTTATGTCGGTTGTTAGTCTCTGCGTTGATAATGCTGGTGTTGTCGAAATCAATCTGGTAGTCCTTGACTTCGCAGTGCTCAGCGACTGCGCTGCGCTCGTGGTCGAGCTTGCGAACGTCGTTCTTGTGCTGGCGTATTCTTTCATTAAAGTTCTTTGTCTCTAAGTGGCTGGACAATCTGCACACGAGATCTTATCAACTACGCCTTGCGTTTTTTTCTTTCGGAGGGCGATCTTTTGGGCGGGGCCTGAGTATCCCAAGCGCAGACATGCACCGCCTTTTCAAATAAAAGTGTACAGTTTTCGAACATGTGAATATAAAATACTGTGGCTCAACAAGGTTATGACGACAGCGTTGAGCCGGTACGCACAGATTTTGCCGGCCTCAGTGCGATCACGCTATGAGCAGCAAGAATGTTGATATGTGGCGGTAAAGACCTGCAAGCGGCGCTTATCCTAGGATGAGAGATTGAAAAACCACTATGCGGGAACAGTTTAAGGCACATAAATCACAGGAATCCCACCATTATTTCCCACCATTATTTTATGAGCGGTCGGACAAGGAATGAACAAATGCTTTTCAGTGCAGAAAAACAGTATCACATAAACATTGTTGAAGTCGGGTAAAAAAAATAGTGATTGCGAAGAAGCAGCATTACTCTTTTTAAATTATGCATACTAATTGTAAGTAATTACTCTTTGTGCACTAGTAATCTGCAACGATTTGCTAAACAGGCTATCCCTAATATACACTGGATGCCACCATGCTCCTTATCCAATCAAGGCTGCCACCCTAGGAAACATGGCTTGATCTGGTTCTCAAGGTACAGCACTTTTACGGTGTCAACGGTAAACGACTGCGTGTCAGAGGGGGAGCACATGTTCAAGTTCTTACCCCCCCCCTCCGTGCTGCGTACCGCAGGGCCACGATAAGCCACAGATATGTTACTGTGTAAGTTTGTGGCCTAGTACCAGCTCCGATGGGTGAAATTAAAGTTGCACCGGGTTTAATGTACAGATTGCTGGTTGACCAGAGGACAACAGTGAACTGTATCAAAGCATTGTTCATAAGAAAATGTTTATTTGAAAAAAATGTCTGATTACTCAGATAGAGATTCTGCAATACTAAGGCACATAGAATGAGTGGACACAAAGATGGGGTGAATGTGGTCCCAAGGCCCACAAAATGACCCAAAAAAAGGAGGTCCCTTCATTCTCCACCCTCCAATGTCAAACAATGAGATAACTGTGTATAAAACAACTGGAGTGGTCCCGTGAAGTGTGTTGACCAACTCTGTAAAACCTCAATTTCTAGACTCAATTGTTTAAAAAAAACAAGACCTTAAAAAAATATGAACAGAAATGAATCTTCTTGATGCTGCTCCATGTATTTGTATGGGATGCATATTAAGTATAAATTCCAGCATGCACCAAAAGCAAAAGCTTCTGTAATAATGAACACATGACTGTTATGAGTAAATAGGCACTTTTCACCATCCATCGTTCAGTCATACAAATCTTCAGATCTTAAATCTATACCTTGCATGTACAATAGCCAGAAGGACAGGTTACCTTTCCCACATTAGTGGTAGAGGCCCAGTCAGGCAGAAATGCCTTTTGTCTCTACCTCCTTACCAAGCTTGGCCCGTGAGAAACTAAATAAACTTCTAACTTCAAACAATGCTCTGCTCATTTAAAACGATCAAAAGGATCTGTGCCCAAAATAGTCCCCCGCTCCAAAAATAGAGATTCTGAGCAAAGATCAAAGCCACGCCACCATTGTCTACCTAAACTTGGAATAGATGGCTCATACAATGCACGTGTGGAATGACAGAAATGAATCTTGGGCAACATTTCGAACTGAAAGGACTGTGGCTGCCTAGCTTTCACACACTCGGGAATCAGGACGGGTGTTTTAAAGTGTGCCCGGTCAGGAAGACGACCCAAAATTTCAGTTGCCACTTCAAAAAAATACACTCGCTTTTCACAAAATGGACGGAGTTTTCGTACGTTACTGCCCCGCATGTCTTCCCCAACAGGTCAGAAACGACAGGCTGTCACTCTTTCGAGTATGTAGTCTGCCCTTGGCCCACCTCTTTCGTCAGTGCCTCAGTTGCATGTACATGGGTGAAGCAAGCTGAAGCACCGGCAATCACCACCCCAGGTAGGAGGCTTGCGATGAAGGAGAAACTTGGGCACACTCCCTGCCGTTCAGAGTGCTGGGCACCAAGGGAGGCGCTCCCCGAGGGTCCGGTCAGGCCAGCAGCCGAGCCACCCACACCAGTGCGACCGTGAGAGAGAGGCGGGCAGCGAGCGAGCCGGCCGCCGAGCAGTCGACGAGACGTACCGCCTGCAGGAAGTCAGAGCCAAGGTAGTCCCTGTAATTGCGGCGTGCCAGAGGCACTGGTTTGAGTTGCTGTGCCGAATCCTGAAAGATGAGGTCGCGATAGGCCGACTCGGAGACAAACATCTTGAAGGTGAAGTCCTGGCTGTACTTGGACCCGTAGAACTGCTGCGCGTACACGAACAGGTCGATGTAGGCGTCGATCACGTGCTGTGGCTTGCCGGGACTGGTGACAATTGCATTGGAAGCCACCTTGCCCAGGTTGCACTCGGCGTACTTGTCCTGCGACCGTCGCGAGCCATCGCGGCACACCAGCTCAAAGTCTCCGGGCGAGATGTTTCGTGCCCACCACATGCTGTTGCGGCCCGCCGTGTTCTCGAACACGGTCGTGTGCTTCACAAAGGCGATGTTGCCACCGCCCTCGACCAGGCAGCGAAAGGCACCCGTGTGGCCGTAGAAGGGCTCCGCCGCATTGCGACCGCAGAAGTTGGACCCCATGCCGTGGCACAGGTCGCACAGGTTCTTGTAGCTGCGCTCGGAGCTCACAAACTCGCGCGACAGCGAACCCGGAACGCAGCTCTTGGAGAAGAACTCCGACGCCGAGCGTGGGGAGTCGCACGTGTACGCCCGCATCCGCTCGTTGCTGATGAGGAAGCTGAGGGGCACCACCCAGCCGGCCGCCTGGTTGATGCCCGTGTGGCACGACCGCCGCCCTGCATGCCAACCAAGCGTCAGGCCAGGCCTTACATTACAGTGGCCGCTCGACTACTCGTGCTTCAGCTTTGCAGAAGCACATTCAACCACACTGGTAGTGTCAGTGGCGGACTTTCTGACCTGCGTGCCTTTGTACGCAATATGGTCACCGACATCATAAAAAAAAGCAGGGCGTGGTTCTTATTGGCTAATGTTGCAATCTCATTGATTGAGGAGCAATAATTAGATGCTCGGGAATCATCACGCCTCGCGTCTCTTTTAAGCCGTCAATGACTACAGATGGCTCCAAGAAGGACAAAGACCGACAACAATGGAGCAAGATTACGTTTTACGATGAGCCAGAGCAAATAATGACTCTCGATCCAATTCAGGCCTGCGCACAATTGGGATGCAATCTTCTTGTGAACCAAATGAGCGTTTGGTATGTAGTTTACCGAGCAAACGGCACTTGCCTTTGAGAGTCAACAGGTCTGTCTCCTTGTCCCCTTGGAAAGTCACTGCCACGACGTAGTAGTATGGTTCATCCAAATTGTACTGTTCTGCGATTATGGGAATCAGCCCGAGTGACCTGCAACCCCACATTGGGCCGTAAGACACTTCCAATCAAAATAACAACAAGAACAATGATAATCTCGAAAGCAACAACGGGCTTATTTTGTCTGAAATTGTGCAAGAAATAAAATAGGGTCTCAAAAAAATTTATGCAGAAGACCTAGGCTCTGAGCAGTTTCTTAAATCAAACAGTGCAAACTCCATCTGCTCTCTTGGTACTCAAATCGAGTCATGCGGCAGCAGGTGAAGTTGTAATTTTGCCAATTACCACCGGTAGCAGCTTTCAGAGTATACCTCCAGATGCAGATACTTTATGGGTAGTTAAGATAATTAATAACAAGGTAGAGAATTAGGTAAGTTAGGAAATCGAACAGCATCTCAAGAATGAAGGCCAAGAAAAAACACACACAAGACACGATAGAGCCTTCCGTGTCTTGTGTCTGCCTTTTCCAAGGTCTGCCTTTGAGTGCTGTTGGATTTCTATCATGCCTAAGATAATTAATAGATATTTTTGTATAAAAGTCTGCCATCGGTGTTAGAGAAGTAGATTGAAGGTTTGTCGAACATGTCTAACCTTAAGATTCAACGTCAAACTTCAAGTTCAACAAGAGTTTGCAAGGCCTCGCCGCTTCAATCATTGCTAAATTGCTGCGCCCCGACAAATATTTAGTGGGAATCTACAACAACTTACTGTTGCTTTAAAAAAAAAAAGGAATCACTTTTTTTTTTTTTTAATTTATGCAATGGCAATATATGAAAATTTATCGCTGTGAGGTTCCATGCAGGTTCCAGGTTCTGTGCACCTGAGAACAGCTTGAAATATTGGGAGGAGTAAAGCAAAGCTTTGCAATGAGTAGCAATGCGAAAAGCTCGGTATTTTGTGGACGGGCTGAAATAAATTCGGAACCTGAAACGAAGGTTGTGAAGTTTGCTCATCAGACATCAGAGTAACGCAAGCATGTGTTTTATCTTTTTGGGAGGAGGCAAGGTATTGGCACTATCTAAAACATGCTGTCAGACACACAATTTAAGCGTTAACGACAGAAAACGATCATGGGCTTGTCTGAGCAATAAAATCGAGTCTCACTTGGTCTATTTCCTTTCCGTTATAATTCAATCTTCGGATAACTTGAAGAAATTTCAATATCCCATCCAGGTTGATTTAATAAAAGCGTACAACAGTTCTACTTTCTGGCGAAATACACCTCAGCAGAAGCGAAGCTCCGGGTTTTGATGAATGGCAAGTGGTTGTTTCTTTATACGCTCCGTGCGGGAACTATAGGGGGCACTTTGAAAAACGCGCGTAGCGCCGCTAGCGGAGGAGCTGGCGTTCGACAGTGAGGCGCGCTCAGCAGCCTGCGGCGCCTTTTCGCGTGCGATCGCTGTGGCGGCGGAAGCGCGCACGGACGGAACTTTTGCTTCTTGAGCCAATAAGTTGAGGGTGACGTTGCATGGGGCTGGGAGAGGTTTAGGAAAGGCATTTAGCTGTTCTCCGCTCCTTATATACTGAGTTTGAGTCGTTATTAGGGGTAATTTCTTTAGTTGCGGTCGAAAAAGGGGTTCGAGAAATTTTCCGAAAAGCAAGACGGCCACCACCATAATTGCTCTCAGTGGGAAATTTGTTTCGCTCGTCGCTGTAAAGGTAGGACTGCTGGGACAATGATATTTGGAGGCGAGTGAGATGTTCACTAAGTTTGTGATCTAAGTTGGCCAAGTTTTATTAAGACCGCAGGTGTGAAAGTTATGATTCGAACGAATAAAGGAATAAAGCTTTCAGGAATATCCAATACTGGACCCAAAATGTTGTGTTATAGCCGGCCTCTGCGAAGTGCAGATTTGGACGCACAGGTTCTTGGACATGACCGTAATTTGGCACAACAGCTATAATACCGAAAATAGGTGGCATAGGGAAACCAGGTGGAAATTTGGTTTGGGCGGCGTAACTGAATGGGAAACAGTTTTGACCGTGAAAGTGGTGAAAGTGCCGTCAAGAGAATAGCACTCGTCGTGGGAGATGGAGACTTTACAGGTAGGAAAGGACTAGTGCACTGTACTTCCAATTGAAACAACGTTACGAAAGATGGTTTCAAAGCCGAGAAAACCAAGTTGCCGGCCAACACACGGTTTGGCCGTCAAAGGCATTTACGGTCAGCTGTTGTGTAGTAATGTGGTTGTGCTAGGTGCTGATTTTCGGCACACAGGTACTTTGACAACCGTAACTTGACAAAACACTTATTATACCTAAAAGAGGTGGCATAGTTTAACCAGGTGGAAATATTTTTGGGCGGCGTAACTAAATTGGAACCGGTTTTCACCGTCAAAGGCTGTCAAGACAATACCACTCATCATGGTCAGGAGGTGCAAACTTTACAGGTAGGAAGGGACCAGGGGACGGAACTTCCAGTTCGAACAACTTTGCAATATGTGGCCCTAAAGCCGCGAAAAAAACAAAAAAAAAAACTGTTGTCTACAAGACTCGGTGTGTCAGCGTTTCCAAATCCAAAAGGAGGCTGATCAAAAAAGAAAGCACACCACATAAACTCCCATACTCAAACATCGATTGTCCAGTGTTTCCAAGTTCCATTGTAGTTTTCCTTAGATTCATATTTGTCACTTTTTGTACCGTCCGAATCGTTTTACATGAAGTACAGACTGCGTGCCATACTGGTCCGGAAATATCATCGACACGTACGATGGGGACGAAACTTCTTTGGAGGGCATTCCATTAACGAAATTCGCACTGCATGCCCGCGAGTGTGGGATGGCATTTCAGTTCGAGCTGAGATATGTAGGCGTTACTGGTACGAAAACAAACGCAGAGCGCAAAGCGGCAGTGTAAAATATGTCAGCCGTGCCGATACAGTGGCAGACATGATCGGGAGACCAAATTTCTCGCGTCGTACGGCACGGGTCCATCGTTGTCGCTGTCCCAGAAACCATCGGCGAGGTGAAAAACTGTGAAACTTCGTCCCCACGAGATACGATGCATAACTATTGGAGCACTTTACGGCGCAGCAGTTCATGCTGTCAACCCAGCGAGACCACAGCGCTCCGACTTCAGTGCGTACCAATGTACGCCGCGTGGTTTCGTTTCGCTGGGGCTCTCACTGCCTACCTTCGGTAACGGCCCCGCGGCGGCGCGCCGGTCGCGTCGCACGGAGTGTATAGTAGCAATGAATATGTCTCTTAGATGTAGATTTAGGATGTCTCTTTATGCAATGCAATGAACACAATCTTTTCCTTAAACAGTGGTGCAAATATATGGCAGGAAAGGGCCAATTTTTAGTTGAACAAAGTAGACAAAAGGATTTCCACTTTCCCTAAGTTTCACTCTATGAAGTCTTGCATCCAACAACCGTGTATTTCTCCCCACATACTTGACGAGCAACACTTACTGGCCTGCCCGATAGATATCCCCGGCCTCGAGAACAACCAAGTCGGCGACACCATTTCGGATCATGTGCATACACTGCAGATGGCTCTCGCTCTTGATGCAGTTCAAGTCTGGCTTCAGCATCTGTGACTTGAAGGCAGTCTGTGAGGGAAGCATAGGCAAGTTGATGTTAGACACCCCAAAATCTATTCCGGAGGGAGCTTCTTTTCAGAAACCAGAAGTACTACTAGGGGCATTCCTGAGCATTTCAAGAGTGCACCTCGAGATTACTAGTGGGCACATGGGACAGAAATAGCATGCTGAGGGTCCCAAAAATGGTAAGTCGTCAGCTTATTTTTGCAAGAATCGAAAGTAAGAGAGTGGAAAGGACTAGCCGTGCAGGGAGAGTTTCCAACTAATCGTGAAACAAAAGTCCCATTCCTCCTCTGCACGAGCAGCAGAAACAAGCCACAAAACTTCCCCATCGACTAAGAACTACACAGCAGAGCGAACTTCAGGGCAACGTTATCCGCACCTTCATTCGATGGCACTTCTCCATCTCCTTGTCAGAGACCACGCACAACTTGGCCGGATGGACTGGGCACTTGCGCAACTTGTGGAACAGCTCCACATCTTTGCCTGTAACCCAAAGCATGTAAGGTCACCACCCAAGCAACCAGAGTGGGTACATGTAGACTATGGTTGCTTGCATAAAGGAATAAATGAAACAGCTGCCTCGACAAACGCTAAACACTGTAGTGAACCCATTTTTTTTCAATCAATCTAATTGCAGGAGATTACCATATTTACTAGAGAAATAGATGCACTGTTTATGAAAAAGGCCCGCAAGTCGACTTTCCCACAGGGCATGTAGTATATAGCCAATCACTGCTTCCTGTGCAAGAAACACAGAGGACAGGGAGGTGCAGAAAATGATCCCCCACGAAAATACAATCTGCGCAGGTGCCATTTTCATGCGAGAACATTATCGCGATGATTGGCTATCCATCTGCTCCGAGAGAATGCAGATGCACACGCTTTGTTCATCAACAGTGCCTCTATTACTAGTAGAAATATGATCTCTTTTTGAATGCTGCACATAACTTTACAAAACCCAAGTCATTCTGCACAGCAAACAGGAAATGAGCTATTCAGGTCACATTTTAAATGTACTGTTGAGACCGGTTATAACAAAGTCAACGGGACTCTGAAATCACTTCACTATATCTGCTTCCTCGTTATATATAGACTCCATTAAAGTAACATGAAAAAAAAATATATATATATAACACGAGCCGTCATGGGCACATGTTCGTTGTGCCTGCAGAAAGCAGTCAAGGCTTCCCTGCACGTGCTCTGCTAGGCCGAAGCAACTTCTACCCAACTGTGAGAAGCTCCGATCGAAAGATCCTGTGAGCTACGTACAGACCGTGTCGACAGCTGCGACGGACGACAGCTGCGACGGCATTCTTTATGTTTATGCGCACTTGGTCGAGGATGACAGCACGCTTTTGTTTCAAGGAGACTGCTTTCGTCTTCCCCGTCGAGGTGCCGCCGGAGCTGGAACTCACCATCGTTGAGTGGCGACGAGTCGCCGAACCAGTGCTTGAGCAAAGCTAGACTTTTGCACAGAGGGCGACCACACCGACTAGCGGCGCTGACATGGAACACGAAACAAACAAAGAGTAAACAGCACCAAGCTCACGCTCGTGTTTCGTCAGTATAGGCCTTTGCAAAAATCACCTTCTGCGAGCAGCCATCTTTGTCTGCTGGGCTGTGGAACGCCTTTTGAGCAAGCGCTGTTGCTCTGCTGTGCGGTATATCAACCCCTGCGCATGCGACCACAGCTCAGTGACTCAGCATTTTTCACCCAGGTGATAAGCGATGCAAAGGTCTATAGACACCCTAGAGCAAGAGAAGGGCGGCAACTGCTGGTTTGTAGGCCATGTTTGCAAAACGAGCTGCAGCCTGCAAGCATTCACCGTCTGCAAACGTGTCCGCCTCTCCGCCCGGTTTCCTCTCCACGCTGGCCACGGGACAACAAATGCAGGCGCACTTACGTCTATCTGCCCAGGAGGCGTTCGCCATTAAATTGTGCAAGCTCTCCATGGTTAAAGTTGCTTCCTCTCTTAAATCTAGGCTGTCTCCGTCGAACACGGAGACGGAACACGGAACTTTCCGAATTTGGTTATCTTTTAAATTATCGTAAAATTTCTCTTCGCTATATTCACAGGAGCCGCTCATTTTCCTTCGCTAAAACAGACACAAATACGCTGAAAAAGAGCAAACCGGAAATCATGACCATTTCACTATAGCCGCTATTTCGTTATAACCGACTTTGTTATAAACGGTTGCGACAGTACCCATTTGCTCCATCCTCACGTGTCAACTCACATAGTGAGGTAGGTTTGAAATATGGTTTGCAAAATGCCCAAAAAGTCATTAGACTTTTTATTTAATACAGGTGTCAGAACCCAACTCTCACTGTGCACAGCAAACCAGTTTTTAAAGGGGTCATGGAATGCATTAAGACCTTGGTTAAAGGGATTGTCCGGTCAAAACCGGAAGTACTTAAAGGGACACTGACAGGGTATTTATGCTCGCCGAGGTTTTTAATTGTATGTGACATATGAGAGCTCAACTACCCAGAACAGAATTTGCGGCTCGAAATTCGGTTTCTTTCCGCCCGAAAACCGCCGATCAAGAACTGGCCGGTTCGAGTCTCGCTCACTCTCTTTTTCGCGGTCACGGGCCGTTTTCTAAGGTATCGATGCAACCACCAAATTTAATCAAAGTCGTGGGTCATTGAAGGCACACACTCAATATTAAAAATAGAAAAAAATATGAAACCCATTTTTCGTGGCTTCTAAAAAGCTGTAAATACGTTGATTGATAAAAACAATTTCCGCAGACAACCGGAAGCATTCTGTGCGTTCGTCGTTTCGCGTATCGTGGGACTCGCGGGGACGGCGATGGTAGCGGACGACGGGCGTGGGACCTCTATTTCAGAACTGTCGTTCGCGGTACCGGCGACTTCTGTCTACCGTTAAAAGAGAAATTTGGGACTGATCAAAAGAATTCGTATTCATCCCGTACGATACGCCCGGCCACCAAGCCGATTTGCACGAAGACGTCGCCGAGCCGTCGCTCCCTTCTCGTGGCTGAAGACATCACTCGCGCAAACGTCAAGCACGACGTGTCTACTTCAAGTTGAATATGCACGCGTACGATTTCTTTACTAGGTGCGAATGTCCCCAAAGCGTGGTGCTTCCCGACTTCGACCCGGGAGTGCTTTTGCTAGAGAAAAATCGACAGCAAACTTTCCAACTTACAGTTTACCGGCTGAATTATTACTAAGGAAAGAGATCCACCAGAACAGAGATGTCCATTAGCTCAGTGGGAAAGACGTCTCTTTTCACACGCGGTAGGACCGGGTTCGATCCCCGGGAAACTTTTTTTTTTTCAAACATTTTCCGATGTTTACATATCTTTTTTCTTTTTTTTTACAATCATCACTGAAGAAACAAAAAAAAAATAACAAACAAATGTTGTGGACGATACTTCGCTGAATTAAATGGTATGGGATTTCCGTTTTGACACCTGCGAACTCAATGTAATCACTTTCCACAAAATGCAAGGAGCATATAAATCAGGTAGCGTCCGCTTTCCGAGGTGCTCGTATACGTTCTACAGGAATTGCAGCCAGCCATTGGTCCCGATCCCGTTGATCTTTCGGAAACTCTGTCGCACAATGCCACTTTTTTTCGGACGTGTGTGAGCCAGCTCTTCACGCAACATCTTGAGTGTATTCTTTTCGGAGCCGATCATGTAAATTCACCACGGGCACTCACTACTCATCTCCAACTCCTCAATGTACAAAACAACTCATCTTGGAGTACAGAACAACGAGCGGAACAAACATAACTGCAAAACAATCGGACGGCGAGCAATTCCCGCACGCCGCATCGCGCGCCGCATGTCGTGTCGTCTGCTACGGAGAGGAGAAAAAAAAACGCACGGTCGGGTGTAGCCACGTGACTTCCGCCACTCACTCTCTTCTCTCCACTTCTCCGACCTCCGTCGGGTTTCGGTTTCGAGCAGTTGCGTCTTTTGGCTTTATTAAAAAAATACGCTACTCTGTTGCAAAATATTAATTGGGTAGTCCTTCGACACCATAATAAAGCGCCTGGCAAAAAATAAAAAAAAAATTTTTGGGGGGTGTCAGTGTCCCTTTAAGCTTTTGCGCTTCTTATGCCGAGGGAGCCTTCATATACATCAACTCATGTTTACAAACAAACCAGAGCGCCCCTAGCGGACGCCACCGGCGCCGCGCACGCACGGTGGACGGTGGGCAAGAAGCTCTCCGTCGTCCATAAACAAACCATTGTTGTCGGCGTCGCGCGTTGTTGTCGGCGTCGGTGTGACTCCTCGTACTCTTTTTCGCGTTGGAATTGTTGATTCTACGTCCTCCTAACAATGTCTGACTACTTGAGCGGCTTCAGCAAAATTACCGAGGCTCGTTACACCGCAAAACTTTGCGTGAATAATGTGGCGTGCGGCGATTCATTTTACATGGACGCCGCAGAATGGGCGCTAAAGCCTGACTTCCACGATGAGATTCTGCTCGCCATTTTCAGTCGCAACGTCGCTCGGGCTGCAAAAGCGTGGACCGTAGCTGAGATGGTGAACGTCGATACTGGAAACCGCAAGTAGAATAGGGCATTACAAGTCGGTGATGGCCACTGGTACCAATGATCAACACCTTGTATCTACTGTTTACACCGAGTCTACTTAAGTCTTTTGAGGCCTGCAATTCCTTCTTATTGCAATCACCGGGTCAAAGTTTGGTCTACAGGCCACAGACAAGTTTGAAAGAGCACACGAAAGTTCGAACAATCAGGCGGCCGGGTGAATTTGAAGACGCACTGAGCCCGCGGGTGGTCCGGACAACTTGGCGGTTTTCTCTCATTCATGTTGGAACAAAGCAAATACATCTGGCGATCACAAAGTGTTGCCCGCACAAGCAATCATAGTTCGACAGCGTCTGGTTTGCCCTTTTCACGGCTACCATCCACGTTCTCGGACAAACGGAGGGGGCCGAAACACATGAAAACTTATCTTCAAACCTTTCCAAACTCTCCTGGTACGGCCCCCGTCGCGGCATTTTGACGATAAGGTAGGTACTTTGTCTGGTTTCTCCCGACAGAACGCAGGAATGCATGCCTCGCACGGTGACTTCTGCCCACCGCCCCAGAGTGGAAGTGCGCCCAACACGCCACCACCGCGGCGCGATGTAGGAGAGTTGAGTTTTTGTATAGAGAAACATCATTTTTATTTTGATATAGGTATGATGTCCCAATATTAATTAAACCTTTCACAAGCGTGTGTACGAAACTGCACCCTGAATTTCGCCAGTGTCAATGGCTGGCATCCGTGTCTGCTGTGTAAAGTCACATAACGCAAAGGACCGTCGGATGGTCGGGATAACAAATGTTGGTCGATGGATGTCTTGTATTTTGTTTCGAATTATATAGTCTCTGAAATATGTTTCTTGTAATGTTTCTTTACTGAAATATGTTTCTTGTAATGTAGTTCACAATTGTGAGCAAAAAAGTAGCGCCTTTTAGCAGGATTTTACTCGAACCAGCCGTTAGCTTTCGAGCAAACGTATGCCGTTTCGCGTGTATACAACTGCGACAGCCACAAGAGAAGGATGCAGTTTTTGCCTTCTGAAATGGCAGCTGGTTCCATGAAGTGACATATGAGTCCACATATCAGTGGATCCACTAGATCGGTGATGCGGCTGCAGGTCGTTATCTCGGAAGCGATGCCCACGGATCAAAGGCAAACGGCGAATCATTCAAAATGCATGTAACGTTTCTAGATCGTCCCTTGACTCAAACCAGCTTGGTGAATCGTGGCTACGCTCCATTTTCACACGCAGGTCAAACAGAATCGGGCTACATATGTGCTAATATAACTTTTGGCATCGTCTCAAGATGGCCTAGCTGTTGGTCTAGATTTCGCTGCATAATCAAAATGATTGATCCAATTCGGGCGAGGAGTGGGTGGACGTAGTTGAATATCGTTGGCACAGCATCCCACCTCAGCTCGTAGCTCTCTTCTGTGAAATGATAGCTGCATAAGCGAGGTATCAATCTTAACAAAAACGCAGTGCTATGTACAGTGACGATTCATTTTGCTCGTTGCTGCACGTCTCGCGGATCACAGGTGCTGCCTGGTGATTGTGGCACCCAACCGCGCAACAAAAATCTCACCCATCTACGAAACAAGTCGAGCACAACAACAAAAATGAAGCACGCTGTGGCATTCACTCGCAGAAAAACGACGAAACGGAAATACAGTCACCAACCGATTATTCGAACTTCGCAGGGACCGAAAAAACGTCCGAATAATAGAGCAGTCCGAAAAATCAGCAGATATAAAAACTTGCCTTTATTACTTCCAAGTGGGCTCAAAAAAGCCGTGAACAGTGCCTTGTCTCAGGTTACGCCTCTGTTTGCGTTTGGCAACTTTCTGTTAGCTTGAGAATCACTGCCTTCTTTTCTAGCGTTATGGTTGAGTACTTTCTGCGCTTCTTAATGACACATCACCGGCGGCAGAACAACAAATGGGGCCATAATGTCCAAGCCAGCGCTGTCCGAACGAGATAAGGAGTGCAAATCCTTGAGCGCAAAATGGTGACTGGCGACGCGAAGGAACGGAAAAACAAAGCAAAATGATAATAATGATGATGATGATGACTTGCAGCTAAATGGAAAAAAAGGGCTATCATAGCATCACCTAGCGGTAGGACTCAGAACTCAAGTAGCGCTGCCAAACCAAGCCAATCCATTTGAAGCCAACATAGAATTCAAAATGGCCGCTTCTCGTTGGTGTTTTCCGCTGATCGCTCGCGACGATTTTGTCCGAATAATCAAACTTTCGAACTTCGAGCTGTCCAAAACATTGGTCGTGAATAAGCACTATTTCTATGGGGTAAGTCACGGTTCCGCCTTTAGGTCCGAAATATCAAACAAGTCCCAATCATCGGAGTCCGAAAAATCGATCGGTGACTGTACTCGCTTTGCGTTATGTGATATCAGAGCTTCAATGTTGCCAACAAAAGCACTATTTATGCTAGGATGCGATTGGAGCAGTTTAAAATTCAATTACTGATGCAGAGGGCATAAAAGCAGTGGCATACCAACTTGTTTTTGAGTGGGGGGGCGAACCAGACCCAGACCCCCCCCCCCCGGGACCGAGGGCCGGGGATTGGTGCCCATGGTATCCCTTGGGCACCGCCGGCCAGTGTTTGCTCTGACCAGTGGCGGCTGTTTCAGGGGGGCAAAACACATGCCTTGTCCCCACCCTGATTGGTATGCCCATGTATAAAAAGAATCAAATATTGCACAAACAATGCGTTTTGAGGTAATTACAATGATATTCAATTGTTTTCTCGAACACAAAATATGACCATGCAATCACTTTATGTAACGACAAGAATAAACGCTTCACATTTTTACGCGTGAAACAAAAATCACCTTTCATTTACACATGCTTCTTTTTGCAAATGAATCCAAATAGCAAAAACTGCTCACAAATTATTCAGTTTCCGAAATGCATCCATTCAACATCTGGACGGACATGCATTTGGCTCTGTTCAAGTGCTTTGTTTCACCAACAAAAACTGCTAATGTGTTAGTGTGAAGGCACCTGTGCAAACTTTTGTACTCGTTTAGAAGACTTGTGTGCTGTCTCCTGCAAAGTTTGTGGCAAATGTTTCCTCTACAGTCCTTGCAAAAAGTATACACCATACTAATACCATTTCAGCAAATCTCGGCCAATAGTAGAAGCTACAGGTCGAGTGAGCCAATGAGAGCACCAGAGCAATGCGTGTGACAGAGCACTGCCCGAGTAAACCCACGTGGCATGTTGTACCTTTCAACGACACTCTTATTGGCTTCCCTGGGCCATAGTTTTAGACATTTTCCAAGTTAAACAGAGTACTAATATAGCAACAACTGCCCAAGTCACTTGGTCTTTCATTTGACCAAATTGTAATGCTCCAAAAAAAACAGGCAGCTGCATTCATTTTGCTATTCACTAACCGCTTCGGTAGCACCTTCCCTTAAGATTTCGAGCGTGGCACTGTAGCTAAAAGCCAACTTTTCGAAGACTCTCCTCTCCGCCGTGTCCCCTTAAATACTAGTTCCCACGGAGGCTTCTCTCGCCTACTGAAGTATGCACACAGAGAGGATGCTCCCATGGAAGAAGACAAAACGAGAGAAGCAGAGAGTGGAGGCCCTCCTCACCCAGGTATCCCGTAAAGGTCTGCTGGTTCCCGTGCAGCGGCACAAACTCCGTCGTCAGGTCCTGCAGCAGGAGGTTGGTGGCATTGCCATAGCGTGGCCCGTTGGCAAACAGGTAGAACCGCGACAGCTCAGTTGCGTTGACAAACAGCGGCCGCTCTGTGGTGGAACTCTGCCACCAGGGCGGCGAGGTAGGCTGTCCCCCTGACCACACGCTCTGATTGGACCAGTTCCAGTCGGGGTTCTGGCTGCCGCTCGTCTGGTTCGGGTGGAACCAAGGGCTCTCGTAGCCCACCGGTGGCTTGCCAAATGTGCTCACCGCCCTCTGCACAAAGCAACCAGAGTCCAGCTAGGCCACCTCTCGTCTGCTGGCGAGTACACTCCGTTCGTTCCATTATATCTCGCTCCTTTTAGCATGTACTTGGCACGCAGAGCGCTAACTAGCCAGAGTATTGAAGGGATCTCTTGGGTAGGGAGATACAGGGCGTTGTTTTTGTTTCCTATACTGGAAGCAATCTTTCTAAAATTAGCAAATGAATTAAAGAAACAATTCCTTCGAGATAAAGTTATACTCTGGCACTGTGGCCCGAACTTGACGTAATGATAAGTGACCCGATAGCCTAAAATTTGCTAATTCACTTTTATTTAGATGTTTAACTCGGCACCAGGTACGGCACCAGACTTTGTATAGTGGCGGGGCAGTGGGGAGCACATTAAATTTTGGGGGAGGCATGGGCTTCCGGTATGTTCAAAGTCACAATAAAACTACAGTCATATACAACATACGAAAGATACTGCGATGGGTAAAAGGGCGCATGCCAGAAAAGCCGTTGTGGAAAGGAGATCTCTCCACTCCACTTCAGCTTTCCTAGTTTCTGCACTTTTCCCCCTCGCACAGTCTTTCTTCTTGTATATGAATATAGAAGAAAAAAAAAAAGAGAAAAAAAAAACCGGGGGCCATGGCTTGGTAGATCCCTTGTCGCCCCCGGCAATATTGACTGCGAGCTATTTGGGACATTTTTAGCAGATATCAACTCAGTTTATTTCAGTATTTTAGAGTGTATTTACAACTCTACTTATTGGAGCATTTCACATGCAAGATATTTACACATATTTACATTACACATTACTAAATAAACACGTTCATGCTCGTGGCCCAAAGTCCAGTAGAGAAAAGAAAGCGGGCGACACAAAGTTGAGAACGTCCAGTATGGGCCTCCTTAGGCCGGGTGCACTTCAAGTCAATGCATTTTTCACGGACCGAGGAAACAAGGAAAGCGACGAGGGGCCAGCATGTATCAGAGTCATTAGTGTGCATGGGGGGGGCAGGGGGTATAGGCAAGTTTATTTTGGGGTGGCAGGGCAATGTTTAGGGGAGGCTCGGCATCCCTTTGGCGTCGTCCCTGCTCGGCACCCATATTCCGATTGAAGACTCGTAGCTCGTCATCAAAACAGATAATGTATCGGTTGTTGGATTTCAGAAAATAAAACAGTGCTTCATGCCGTTCTGTGCCGTCAATGTGGCGAGTTTCCAAAAAAAATAAGAGTGCACATTTGTTTTATCTGCAAAGAGTTGCATAAGCTGATCTTAATAGCTGTGTCCTGTAAATTTTAGAAAGAACAACAATGATGGCTTTAAACAGAAAAGCGAGCAGCAAAAGATGTTATTAGGCTCTAAAACCGCATCAAAAATAGCAGGAACTTCCTTTCAAAGGTTACCACTGATAATGAACGCTAGGTTCACCGTTAAAATTCAGACACAGGGCAGCAATCGACCTGGACACGACTAAAAAAAATCACTGACTGACCATATTTACTCAAGAATAGGTCACCCCTTATATGAACAAAGCCGGCACCTAGGCTTTCTTACATTGCCAATGTTTGCTAAAGGTACTGTAATAAAACCACTTTCGGTGTGAGGCAATTTGAATAATTTGAACGTAGCTTAATTCCAGTTGACATATCTTAAGAAAGGAAATTCCAAGACGATAGTCTTTTGGTCTCCCTTCTCATGGCAAACACTAGTAAAAATATGCTAATTTTGTACTTTCATGAAACAAAATAGTATACATCAGAAAGTATAATTAACAATTAAAGATATTACTCGGAGCATACTGGGCCAACACGCGCGGAACATCAAAAGAACTCTGAGTAGTAGATTAAAAATATACTAAAATTATACTTCAAATACTAAAAGTACTACATGTTTCATTTTAAGAATCCTTATTTTTTTTTTTTTACTGCAGAAATAAATTACACACTGTCCAACACTCAGCCTCTGCCCAAACGTAGCACTAGCAGTTGAGACCAGATGCCTAAGTTTCAGAACTAACCATTTACCTATTCAAGATTTAAAAGGGCAGTGCAACGATTTTTCTGTTGAAAGAATTCGCAGCTTGTATTTTTTATATTGTTTATCGGGGCACGAGTGAGACAAATCGCATTGCCTTCCCCCGAAATACTGCAATTCCACTGCGTAATCGCAAAGGAGACGAAAGGTATTCTTTGCCGATCTGCAGCCGCACGTGGCGGTTATGAGAACCACGGTGTCAAGTCATAGGGAGTACACAGAAGTCGACAAAAAGATTCCCCCTCTGCTGCTACGCTCGCTGTCAGCCCTGTGGCGAACAGTCTTTCGTCTCAATCGCTCACCGTGACCTTTGGCAATGCTCTTAAAGTCAACAATCGTGGAGGAAGCGCTGAGGCTGTGAAACTGGAAACCAGATGGTACTCCCAGTGATGTCACTCGGAAGACGGTGTGAGCGTTGACTCCAACCTTCCATTTGTTTCATTTCTTAAAATAAAAACTAGGAAAAATATTTTTATGTTTCTTGTTATATAAGTAACACAGACTAATTCTCGCAGTTAACTGGCCAAAGTCCAAAAATTGTCGCACCGCCTCCTTTAAAGGAAGACTGACAGGGTATTTATGCTCGCTAAGGTTTTTGTTTGTACACGACATATGAGAGCCCAACTACCCAGAACACAATTTGTGGCGCAAAATTTGTTTTCTTTCCGCCAGAAAGCCGCCAATTGAGAACTGGCCAGTTTGCGTCACGCTCACTCTCTTTTCTGTGGTCACGTGGCGTTCTCTATGGTTTAGACACAAACATCAAATATATTCGAAGTCATGGGTCATGAAAGGTACACACACAATATTCAAAATATTTTAAAAAATATGATACACATTTTTTGTGGCTTCTAAAGAAACTGCAAATATGTTAATTAAAAAAGAAAAAGGTTGCACAAAGAATTGGAAGCGTTTTGTGCATTCTCAGCATGGCGTCATATTGCGGGAGTCACGGGCTGGACGGCTGAACGAAGCGGACCAAACGATGGCGGCGGACGACGGGCGTGGGACCTCTACTTCAGAACAGTGTTTTGTGCTACCAGCGACTTTTGCGTTCTTTGTGCGACGTGCTAGTTTTTCATCTGCTTCCCACAACCAAAAAAAAAAAAAAGCTGAAGAAAAAAAAAGAAGGAAAAAGAAAAATGCAGTTGGCTGTAACCACATGACTTTTGGCAACTCTCTCCTCCTCTACATTTCTTCTTCCTCCCCAGTCCAGTTTAGGTTTCGGTTTCAAGCAGTTGTTTTTTTACTTTATGAAAAATATATGTGACACTGCAGGGGTGGAACTCATGAAATGTACTTGGGAGCAGCCACGGGAGCAGCTGAAACAGCTGTTTTGGAGCAGGTTGGGAGCAGCTAAAACTACATTCTGGAGCAGGCTAGGAGCAGCTCAGATCAGTTTGCATTGCACTTCAGCTTGTATCTTAGACAAGCACGAAAGCAATTTCAATTGTGCTTAGCAGCAGAGATGAACATGAGCGGTTAGGGACCTAGGTAGAGGGGATAACAGTGTAATATATGCGAAAACTTGAATCTTTGTGACCTTTAATGAGAATCAAACAGCAAGTACTCTATGTTTCTGAAGATAGCGTCCTTGATATTTTCTGAGTGGCCTTCAGACGCTCAAGATGCAAACCAGCTCTGCTTATCGCACAACCCACACGTGCTCGACATAGTAATTATATGTGCGAACCACGTGACGTGCGTAAGCAACGGACGTGCAGTTGCACGGAGGAACAGGGCAACAAATTTCGAGTTTATCCTATTGTGCAACTCGATATCGAAGCAGCAGACTACGAATAACGAAGTTATCGTATTTGAAGCGATAAGCAGGAGCAAGGTTAATGTACGCCGAGCAGATAAGTAGAGCTGCTGACCGGCAAGGTTTCGGATTGGACCGCGTTTCAGTTCTATCAAATCACGATTTATCTTGCAAGAATGCGGTTCCAACTCCTAACGATGAAGCACTAAAAGGAATATTTTGCTCATTTGCTTTCGACTGGATGACGTCCGGATCCCGGGCCGCAGAGCCTCGTGCAATCTGACGCTTAACGACTCGACCTCACCTCGGCCTACTTGCCCTACCGCTTATGGTTGAAGAGTAACAATCCAGTCGCAGGTGGTGTAGCGCTTAGAATCCGAGTTTTTTCGCGCGCTTCCGACTCGGGATAGACAAGGGGAATAAACAGAACAAGGGATTGCAAGGCCGACCAGGCTAAGCGCCCTCATTGTTGACAATCGAGTCGATAAAAACCGAAACCAAGACAAAATAAAACTTTTTTTTTGGGCGGACGTTTTGCGATTTGGCGCATAATGGCGCGAGGTATTGGCTTTGGCGCAGTTTCTGCAACATGGCGCAGGATGGCGCAGACACATGCGTCTGGCGCAAAATGGCGCAAATGGCGCAGCCGTTCCACCCCTGCACTGTAACGAAATACTGATTGGGTATTCTTTTGACACCACATTAAATCGCCTGGCAAAATATTTAAAAAAATGTTTGTGGGGGGTGTCAGCGTCCCTTTAAAGTGATATTCAGAAATTTTCACTTCAACGAGAAAACAGGGCCCATTCCCGGTAGCAGACATCCTTCATTTCCACATGTTCGAGGCCTTTGTTGGACGCAATTTTCTCTTTGAAAATTTCAAAGCATTGCTTCCAACTGTCTAACCGGATATGGCAAGTTCTGAAACTCTGACATCTGGTCACAACCACTAGCGCTAAAATCAGGTAGACTACAGGGCGTTCAGCAATGCCTAGTTTATTTTCGTAGAGGAAAAGTGTGGTTCTCTCTGACCCAAAAATACTGCAACACACTCCAAGTGCACTCGTTGGCTGCATGGAAGCACAAAAGCAATGCGCCTTGACTGGTCGCCTTGTGGCTACCCACCCTGAGGAAGTCCTGGTACTGCTCCCGCACGGCCAGCCGTGTGTCCGAGGTGGTCACCACTACATTGGGCGGCACAAAGCCCCAGTTGCACGACCGGAACTGGTCCGTAGCAGCCGTGTCCCCCGATGGGCAGAGCAGGCGAAAGGCATGGCTCCGCCCCCGCAGCACCTCGTCCAGGGTCGTGTGCTTCACAAAGGCCACGTCTCCGCGCTCCGCTAGGCACCGCACCGCCCCCTGGTAGCCCGCGTAAGGGTCGTTGCCCGAGCAGCGCTCCCCAGGGCGGCCGCCACACAGCTCGCACATCTTCTGCGGATTGTCACCTGCCGGGACCCGTGGGATTGTCCATGGGGGTCACCAAGCCGCCAAAATGCCACGAGAAATCCGCTATGTTTTCTTGAAATGCCGCAAAAAAATTCCCCACATTCCCCTGTTTCGCCAAAATGCTGCAAGAAATATGCCACCTTCAGCCATTCCCCCAAAATGCCACAAGAAATCCACCACATTCCGCTACATTCCACCAAAATGCCGCAAGATATTAGCCCTTAGTCCACCAAAATGCTGCAAGGAATCAACCACAATCTACTATGTACCGCCAAAATGCCTTAAGAAATGTGCTACATTCCACTACGTCCTATAAAAATGCCACAACATTCCGCTATGTTACGCCAAAATGGCTCAAAAAAAAAATTGCTACGTTCCACTATGTTCTGCCGAAATGGTGCAAGAAATTAACCACAATCTGCCACATTCCAAAACATTTTGCAAACTTTTCAGATGTTTTTAATAAAAAAAAAAAAAAAAAAACACACAGCCCAGTCGTTCATGATGCAAACCTTTATCAATCTATTCATAAGATCAAGCAGGTCCAAAATTATGTGCAAACGAATCTTTGTGAAGTGTAATTACAATAGATCTTTTGCCAAATTACCCAAACACTAAGGAGAAAGCTAGGATGATATGTAAACATGCTTGCCTTATCAGTATAAGATTCCAAGTAAATAACCAAAATAAAGCACTGACAAACACACATGCAAATGCAACGTGTATGACTACACTAGCAGCATGCTGTTTGAAAGCTTGGGTAATTAAACAAAGGGTCTACGTTAGGTCCTTCAATCCTATGCTAGCCGTCACAATAGGGAGTTTTACTAGATTGTTCAGATAACAATACCTGACACTCCGTCGGTGCCCCCGTGCATGGATTTGATCATTATCAAAATGATCTACTAAAATTCCCAAACAACATGCGAGTCCCAGCCAGCTAAGAGTTTTTCCTCAACGTAGTCGTCCACCACCACAAAGTAACTGTCAATCACACTGTTCGTAAAAACTGACATTGGTGCAGGCTTCAAGCTAAAAAAAATGAAAGTATGCAACCCGACAGCAATATGTTTGTCGCAATTCAATTCATAATTACGCAACCGCTGCCACTGCCACAATTGCTAAGGATCCACTCAGACAAGTCAGTCTCCAAGTCGGTCTGGCCTTCAAAGATGTACTTGAAAGGTTAAAACTATCAACACATCCCTGCTTGGCTTTTTTCCGTTTCACCTTAAAAGAAACCGCAGCGGACACTACAAGCCATCAGAGCCAATCCAACGCTGCGAATGACCCGTGACTTTATGCACCACATGTTGCCGTCCCAATCTAAAGTCCACATGACTCGCTCTCAGCTAGTGATTGGCTTCATTGGCTCATAGCATCTGCTGGCGTTCACTTGAAGGTGAAATAGAGTATAGAGGTCAGATGCCCAAGCATGCAGAGGCTATTACTCTGCTACTTATTCATCAGCAACAAGCTCTTTCGGCTCACAATCCGACATATGAAGGGGTTTTAGAAAAGTGTAGCCAAGTGATTTGCGTCCCCAAAGAAATAGCGTCATCACCACTGCACATGGGATGAACCCAAACCGCGTTTTGGGTGCATACATTATTTTTGGAAATAGCATGGGTATCCACACTTGCCTCTCAGTGCTTGCATTTCTCTCGCAGGGTGCAAGAAGTTGAGGGAGGGTTAAAGCCAAGGCAAGGAGGGTTTCAAGCCGGAGCCAAATGTGGAATGGTGGACCTTGGGATCTGCTTCTTAGTTTGTGTTTTGTACCTTTTCTATTCATGAAAACATTCATCCTCCCCAAAGGCAATGAATGCACCAGCCCCGCTAGAGGATAGGAACGCACCTGTTGGGTTGTGCTTGTCAATGAGGGAGTTGGGGGCACAGCTCGGCCCAAAGAAAGTCGAGGCGCTCTTGACAAGGTTGTTGCAGTCGCTTACTTCAAGGACGTTCTCATGCACCAGGGTGGCCATGGGGATGACCCAGCCAGCCATGTCGCCCACACTCGTGAAGCACACAGACTTGTTCTTTAGGTCCAGGAGCGACTTGTACTCTGTCTTGGCATGGACCACTGCCACAGAGTAGTAGCCAGCTTCCCTGCCTGTAAACACCCAGAGTCGTGTCCAAGCTCTCTTATGGCTTCTCCGGAATCAAGGCAGAATCATTGGCAAAAAGGCGTCAAAAGCATGGCACAACACCTTTAACTCATGCAGTGAGGTCGCTGATAAAAGAGTAAAACATCACAGTTGAGGAGCCTAGCACACAAGGAAGCAAGGAGATTTTAGAGCCCCTTTTGGACAATGTCTGCGACCTCTCACCTGCCCGGGCTTTTCAAATTATTGCTTCTGTCAGCTCTAGAACGTTGTACAAAGGTATGAGACACAACCCCATAAAAGGCCACAGTGTCAAACTTGCTAGTAAACACAGAAAATGCCCACAAAAACAACAGTAAAAGTAGCCAGGTACCCCACTGGAACCTGCAAGCAAAACAGCTCCCAGATATCCAAGCAAAGCATAAAGAGTGTGAAGCTGGGAACCTGTACAGGAGCCACTCGGAAGCTTCACGCGGCAGCCAACGCTTCACCAAGAGACAGCTTGAACAAATAACTCTGGGCCATCAGAAGGCAGCTACCAAGGGGTCCAACTCAAGATGGAAGGCGGCGAAACCTGGTGCGGCAAAGCCACTGTCCGCCGGGCACTTACCTGGCCCGTAGCGCTCTGCCAGGATGGGGATGACGCTGTGGAAACGACCGGCCGAGTAGACCTCCCCGGGATCAAGCTCCACCAGGTGCACCTGGCCATTGTCGAGGAAGTTCATGCACTGGTCTTTAAAGGCGGCACGCTTGCACTTGAGTTGCAACGAGAACGTCCTGCTGGCACGAACCGCCTCGGCAAACTCAGTGCACTTGAGGTGTTCCATGTCGCTCACGGTGCACCAAGTCACGTCATCGAGGCCCCAGCCCAGAAGAGCTGCGAGTGCCAAGGACAAAAAAGACAAGTTACAGGGCACTACGACAATAAAATTTGTGATCTTCAATGGGCCCCGAAAAACAGGAAAGAATGTCTCTTTTTCGCCCCTTGGCCCTCTCGTAATGGACCATTAAGTGAGACCTTTATTTAGTAGCCAGCTTTGACTGCTAAGTATTTTTCTATAGTATCCCAGAAAGAAAAGGAAGCTCTGATTCATTGACGAAAAACAATGCTATCAGGATAAAAAAAATTTCTTCTCTGCTGGTTTTTAATAATGGGCAAAACATTCTTATTGGCAGTATGTTGGTTAAAGTATATATGCTTTTCATAAAAACACAATGAAAAAAGGCAGGCATCTTGAATCAGACATTAATGAGCAAATTATATTATGATTGGCAAACAGGTGAGCAAAAAGCCTCTAATTTTTTTGGCAGTTAGAATGCAGTCAGAAACGTATTTTGAGGTGTATTAACAGGTTAACTATGAGTTATTGATATAAGTATCAGCCTCAATTTTCTAGCTTTAAAATTGTGTTTCAGGTGTCAGCTTGTAACTTCAGTAGGATTTCTGATTTTAGAACAATGCCAACATATGACAATAAATACATTCAAAATATAATTTCCATGAACATGAGCCAATAAACCAATAAAGTTGAGTATATCTTTTATCTGTGTAGGTGATTGAATGCAAATCTTTATTTCATATGTTAACACCAACAGAAAATCTGTGTACACCTGCCGGCAAGCCGGTTCCCACGCGGTTCACGACCAAGCAAACGGACCGTGCCCATCTGTTGACTATGTATTTAAAACATACAAGAAACACATAGTAAATGCAGGGAACCACCAAGGCATGGAGTTGCACTCCTGTTTACTGAACATTAACAAGTACAAGGATAACTATTTTTATCAATACCGATGGGTTAACTACGGCAGCAGGACAATCGTCCCGCGCCACGTGGTTCACAAAGAGCTAGGCCTGACCCACAGGAGGAGACTCAGTGCAGCCCCGATGTCAGTCATCAAAACATCATATCTGTGCAACATTGCACTTGCCCAAGTCCTACGCCAACGTATAGGGGAGAGAGACCCCCCGTCCCCTTTGCATTGTCTTTTATACCCAATCGGCTGGGACGTTTCTCCCAAACACCGATAGTTAGATAGATCCATGGCAGCTCTTCCCTTTGGATCAAGCGTTGGCTTGCACCACCGCCAGGTAAAGCCCCTTGATAAAATCCACGCCTTGCATTTCTTGCAAGTACCGACAATCATTGTTGTGCAAACGTACAACACATGTGCCACAAGTGAGCACACTGCCAACAGTTGCTTCCAAGGGCTGCTCATTTCAATACTGCATTACCATCTGCTTCCAAAGGCATCACATGACATGGCGTCAAGCAATGGCGCATTTGTTACTACTTGAAAGAAAAACAAACATATCAAGGGGCTTTACCACCAGGGGCACCAAAGTGCCACCTATTGGCCAGGAGGACAAATGGAGGTCAGGAGGCGACTTTACTCTCCTGATCCGTTAGGTAACAACATGACAACCTGATCGCACCTGGAGCAGGGCAGCTAGTTGCCACCCTGTGTGGCATGAAAGCCAGGGAGACAGGTCCCATATACCTTATTGAGTGATTGAACTACACCTGTGAACAACTTTCTGTGTCATTTTTGACGAAATTGCACATGCACAGCTTTCATCAGTGTTCATGCATGCGCCCCCCTATCTTGGACTGCATAGCTACAGAAAAATGTCCACGAGCATAGCTAGTTTACAATTTTAAGACATATCACAAACATAAACCTCCACAAACCACATTCAACTTCTGAGAAAAAGCACAATTTCAGGAATCCACGAGATTTAAGTTTGTTTCTAACGGACGTTATCTTCATTCCTGTGGAGCAGTCTTTTAAGGCCCGCTTCAGAAGGGGCAACTTTTCCAGCAATTTTGAGGTTGCTGGCGGGTTGTTCCCTAGCTTTTCCTAGATTGATGCGCATTGCTGAGATCGGGTCTGGCTCGAACAAGCGAGCAACTCGGAGCAATTCGAAGCGGCTGCAGCCAGTCAGGGACACAACATTTTCACGTGACACCCCTGTGGTGATGATGATGACAGCTAAAGACTTAGTTTTGGTTTGAAATGGATCGTTTTTGGAAATAAACATTTTCAGAAAAATTAGTCAGTATTCTCAACGCCGTTCAAAGATACAAGAACATGTTTCTAGCGCGTAGCTGGGCATCTAAATAGTGAAAGAAAAATCAAATTTAATGATGATGATGGCAAGTCGGAGCAATTCGGTTGCTGCGTGTGAATGCAGGCGGCCTGTGTTGCTGGTGTTGCGACGTCAAGTTGCTGGGTGAAATTGCTTCGTCTGAAGCGGGCCTTGCCCTTTAAAGGGGCACTGACACATCAAAATCATATTTTTTTTTATTATCCGAAACAATTGAAAACGATGCCGGGACATTACCCTCAAAATTTGAGATTTGGGAATTCAGTATTCGTGAAGTAAAAAAACAATTTCCAAATGCCGAATTCGAAGTTCCCGCGCGATCGGCGCCGGTGCCTTGACGTCAAAAATTGAGGAGACCTGAGAGTCCACTTTCCTGTCACCACTCCCTGCTGTCGCCATGGCGACCCAAAGCGAGGAGGATAGGAGCGAACGCCGGCTAGCGCCGGCGTTGCGGCGGACCGGTTTTGAGCGGTGTCGCCTGTTTTCCGTTGGAGGATACAAATCCAGGAGACGGCACCACAACGAACTCCCGATTTTTGGTATTTCAAAAAGAAGGGCCGTAGTGCGTTCGCAATTGCGTTAAAAAACATATTTTAAGATGGCCGTAATTAAATGTTATAGAGATGTCGCCTACAAAGCTTCTAAATTTCCTGATTTTTGACGTCACCGATCAAAAGAAGCGAGGAGGCGAGAGGCGGGAAAATCAAACGCCAAAAATAAAAATGCGCGCGCGCGCGCGGGAAAATTTTTTTTCGCGATGCGGTTTTTTTTGCGTGTCTATGACTACAACTTGCATCGTTTTAGACAATAAAAATAAATACGACCTTTGGGGTGTCAGTGCCCCTTTAAGTGCCGCGCCTGAGTATACTCGGGCGCACTCCCCGGCACACCCCCTGCCACGCATAAGTAGATTTGTTTCGAGTTGTTAGTTTATTTCCGGCCGCTTCCAAATTAATTCAAACTGCCTTTTTTTTTTTTTTTTCTTTTTTTTTTTTTTTTTTTTGCTAGAAGCTGCATTTATGGGTAATCCACTGGACCATATTTTTTAGTTGTGGTACTTGGGATACGGACAAAAGTGATGACGAGTCGTCACCACCTAAAAGGCCACTCAAAAAGAAAAAAACTTGACGACACTGGCCCTTGCTGAACTCCAGGCGACTTTGTTCCCAATGTTCCCTTTATTTCAGTAGTTAAAAACTTTTTGAACGTAAAGCAACATAATCTGGTAAATAAATGTACAGTCCTAATCACACTTGTCTATAACGCGCGAGCGTGCGGCTTTCTCCGGGGAGCGCTAGACTGGTGCCATTCGCGGAAACTAAGCTAGTCACGTGGTGCAACATGGAATGACCCGCTCGAGGGGTGTCCTGCCCACTCTATCAGCTGGCGGCGAACGCGGAAGGCTGCTCGCACGATTTTTACAAACATCATTGCTCGAACAATAAACAAACTAATGCATGAAGGCGTATCAACGATGTCGTCATCAAAAAAACAAACAAAATATATCATAAGAACTTTACTTTTATCGCTTATCAAGCTGGTATAAGGCTTGCTACTATGCAAAAAACAAAAGTATATCAATGGACCGGATTCAACAGGATTGCGCATAGCATCGAGAGAATCCTACGGGAAAAAAGCACTGATCGCTGACAATGACACCACGAGTGCCGAAAGACGTCATAACAAGGATAGTCGGGACGAGTGAAGCGGGGTTGTCCCAGCGACATATCTCATCGAAGACAAACGTGTCTCTAGTGACGGTCAACCGAATCATAAAGGCGTACCGGGACGAAGGCCGCATCGACGATGCTCCCCGGGGTCGTCCTCCTTCATGTACGGCTTTGAAAGAAGACCTGCTCATCATCGCCGCCGCCGTGGATGATCCGTTTATGTCGGCTTCAGAGATTAGGAAGCTTTTAAACCTCAACATTTCTGTAAGCACCATTCGAAGACGGTTGTAGGATGCAGGCCTCCAGTGCCGCATAGCTGCCGAGAAACCACGTCTTTATGAGAGCCATCGACGCCAGCGAGTTCTCTTTGCGCAAGAGCACGTGTCTTGGGGTTCGGACGAGTGGAATGAGGTGCTTTCTGACGAGTCAAGCTTCACCACATGCTGGGACCAACAACAGAGTGTGTGGAGGCCAGCCTGTGCCAGGTAATACCTCCGTAAAATCTATTTACTTCGAAATGTATTCATATTTGACGATGCTTCGAACAGGCTATACGCAAGGTGCTTCTAAAAAAGGGGCAACAATTATAATGCGAAACTGCACATCACATTGACAAACTGGTGATGACGAATTTTCCACTGACAAGATGAGCTTTTAGAGTGCAAGGTGCATCCTTTTCACTAGTAATAATTGTTTGATGATTTTCAAATAAATAACCCTTGGGTTAGTAAAAAAAAAAAAAGAAAGTAGCGAACCGAGGCCCCAGGGGTGCATCACAGTAGGTGTCATCACCAAAACCCAATAAAGCGTCATCGTAATGTTTAATATTGCAATAATTAAGTTGTGAAGATGCTCACAAGCATCTTCATAACATTTGGAATCGAGAGAGGGTCGTTCAGACCATTTCATGTAGCGGAGTAGAAAACCCTTGGTGAAAACAGCAACAATGAACGAGTTTATTTTTTCGATGTTTCGTCCGGAGTCCGGCCTTTGTCCGAGAGGCCAGATATCCTGGTGGAGGCTGGACTCCGGAAGTCCAGCGAAGGCCGGACTCCGGCCTAAACGTTGAAGAAATAGGCCGGTCCGTTGTTGCTGTTTTCACCGAGGGTTTTTTACTTTGTTATACCTACGCCTTCTGCCTCCCGCCACCATGCCCGTTGTATATATATATAGCGCTCCTAACTTTCTTCAAATAACAAAGCCGTCTCAGGAACCATCACGGAGGGATCGCATTTTTAATTCATTATTTTTTTCTTTCGCAGATATGATCCACCATACATAAGACCAATCGCTGCTAGTGGCAGAGCCTCAGTCAGTGTGTGGGGCACTATTTCTCCACACAGACTTGGTCCGTTGCATAGAATTGATGGCAGCCTGACAGCACTACAATATGTCGACATTCTCGACCATGTCATGCCACCATATGCACTTGACAACCCCTTTCCGGACAGCGCTTTCAAATTTCAACATGACCGAAGCCCCGTCCACAAGGCAAAGGTTGTCAGAGACTACCTAGAGGAGCGTTGCATCACAGAACTTCCATGGCCACCGTGCGGCGCGGACCTCAATATCATTGAAAATGTCTGGGGCATAATGAAAAAAAGGTTGGCTAGAAGACACTGAGGGACTCATCGCGTGACACCCTTTGGGCGGTTGTTTCGGAGGAATGGCAACGACTGCGGGAAGACGGAGAACTTTGCCCTGCACTTTACGGATCCATCCCTCGCGGCATCAACAGTGTCATCTCGCAGAAAGGCGCATACACCCACTATTGAACTCCAAACTATTATTTATCCACAAGATCGTGGTAGCAATAACAAGTATTTCTTATTATTTTACACAAACAGACCCCGCAATAAACCTTCATAAACAAATATTTTAGTGTGCTCGTATTTTTTTTTTTTTTTTTTTTTTTCGCAGTTCCTTTAAGCCATTAAAACGTTTTGAGCACATTTTCTAGGAAATCAGTTTGCAGAATTAAGACAACAGAATATCTAATAGGCCTCAAAATAACATTATGATATGTGCAGATGCGAACCATGTATAGGGGAATTGGAAAAAGAAAAGACCACATGCGAAAAAAAGAACACTGTTGATATGCTCACAACAGCGCGCAAGCGATACACGGTCAGATAAGCGGTCAGAAGGGAGCGTGAAGTGTTCTGCGAGCAGCCTTCCGCGTTCGCCGCCAGCTGATAGAGTGGGCAAGACACCCCTCAAGTGGGTCGTTCTATGTTGCACCACGTGACTAGCTTAGTTTCCGCGAATGGCACCAGTCTAGCGCTCCCCGGAGAAAGCCGCACGCTCGCGCGTTATAGACAAGTGTGATTAGGACTGTACATATGTAATCGCATTTCTACATTAAATTTTTTTTTTTTTTGGTGCAGTTAGAAACATTTGGCACAGGGTGCATGCTGAGACGAAAAAACCCCGGCACTTAAAGGGTTAACAATGTTTTCAGCATTTCAGCTCCAACCAAAATAAGCGTGCTTTTAGAAACGCTAAACCAGTAACCGAAATGATAAAAACTGGAAACCTCCCAAACCCGGAACAAAACTTATTTCATGGTGGTTATGGTAATGCATAAGGCCTGCTTCAGACAGGGTTACTTTCTCAGCAATTTCGGGGTAGCTGGCGGGATGTTCCCTAGCTTTCCCTAGATCAACACAAATTGCTGACATCAGGTCCAGCTCGAAACAAGCGAGCACCTTGGAGCAATTCGATTATGTTTGAAGTGGCAGCAGCCAATCAGAGACGACATATTTTCGCATGATACACTGTGCCAGTGATGATGACGATTAAAAACCTGGTTCTGTTTCGAAATTGATCGTTTTTGGAAATAGACCATTTCAGAAAGATGCATTAGTATTCTCAATGACATTTAAATGCATAAAATTATGTTTATAGCGCATAACTCTATGTGCTTAAATAGAGCAAGAAAAATTTAATTTAATGGTGAAGATGGCAAATTGCAGCAATTGGTTGCTCCGTGTGAATGTGGGCGGCCCGTGTTGCTGGTGTTGCGACGTCAAATGCTGGGAAAAATTGCCCTGTCTGAAGCCGGCCTAATGGAAGTTGGGCAGTACGGTGAGCTGCCCAGCCTCCTACAAAGGGCTGAGAAGCGGCACCTGTTGAAGACAGACGTCCGTCCATATGTGTATAGGACACGTTACACCACTGTCGTAAAGGCATGTAGTCGGGCATCAAGCTTCTAGTAGGTTGATATAAAAACATAAATTTGAGCGACGAGTGTTTGGTGCATGCTTCTTGAGAGTACAAAATGCATCGTGTGCACCACTGTGTGCCCACTTATAAAAAATTCTAAAGAAAATGCTTGTTTGCAAGCAGACACGGGAAGCTGTGCTACTGTCGTATTGTGACAAGCATAAAAGCACAGCACCTCAACGAACTGTCAATGTTTGTAACACCCTAGTTATGAGTTCCAACAAACAAACCGTCACTTCTTTTTACTTTCCTTCTTTCAGGTTTCCGATTTTCAGTATTTTAAAGCAAGACAAGCTACTTGGGCAAATCGAAGAGCCGTCCCGAATTGCTATTTTATCGAGCCTGGCTAGAAGACATGTGGCAATTGGGCCACAAATAGCTGTGCAAATGACACCCGTGAACACACTTTTACCGGCCCTTCCCTCGCAAAACAAAACCAAATCGCAGAGCGGGGACAGTCTGTCCGTGCGCGTGGAGCAGCGACCGAGAGCGAAACAACGCGCTGTCCGAGTTGGCAGTTGAGCGCACCGTTTGGAAAAAGGGAGACTAGCAAGTAAATAAACTATGGGGCAAGGCGAGGATAGCCACAATGATACCGACTCCCATGTCTCAGCTTCTTCCTTCGGGCAAACGGGCGGGAGGAATGCATTCACCCAAGGCCGCAATCATTTGGTTCGACGACTTCTGCCCCGCGATCTTTAACACGAATCGTTCCAGAATGTCTTCACATTGCTCCCCGAAGGGACGCATTTGAACAAGTAAGCAAGCGCTTTCTCAAGGCGTGGTCCAGCAAGCTTTGAGCTGCGAACCGCCACCGACGACCCAGCGAGCCACGGCTCTGTTGGCGCCAAACACTGCCGCACTTACCGACGTGGGCTAAACCAAGGTGCAAAACTGCGAGCCAGGACGACGACCACCGCATTTTCACCGCTCCTAAATTTCAAGCTAACGAACATAACAAGCTGCACAAGAGAGTAAACAGGGTAACCGCAAAAGGTGTGTCGCTTGCTTCGGGCGGTCAGGTGTGACAGGTAGAAAAAACGAAAATATTTGCCGTGGCGAGTCATAGATGACGTCACAATCGTGTGGAATCTTGAGTTTGGTTGTCATGTCGTGCCGCATAGTAGGGCCGCGGAGCGCAACGCTTACAGCAATATCATGAAGTACCCTTTGTCAGCCGTGACCGTCTCCAGTGTTTTAACTTTCCTTATTCTTGTGCGAATAAGATTTATTTATTAACGTTTCCAATAGATGTTTCCTCAAAAATGTAAGGCTACCTTTTTGGGGTTTTAGAGGTTCAGGTGACGCTAGTGTGCTCTTGCATTTTGAAGCAGACAGCTAGCGCAGCTAGCAGTCTAAATTTGACGTGCGTTTTCTCTTCGCGCTTGATTATAAGTGTAAATGTTGCTTAATGTTGTGATTAGGGGTGTCGCAAACTTTTGTCGAACCAGATTTTTTGGTCGAACTTCCGGGGTTCGACTGAGTCGAACCGGTCGACGAACCTTCGAACTTTTCACCAGATTCGACCGGTTCGACTTTATGGACAGTGTGGCCAGACAAGCATGTCTAGGTTTGGATAATTTTTTTTTTTTTATGCAAGGGGTTATTTTATTTTGTGAACAGCTGCAATTAAAAGAAACTAATTATAATCACTGAAGAAGTTAATAACTTAATTTTTAGTACTGTATTGACCGAAATAGCCAATCAGCTCTGCACTTAATTCATCTCTTAGCCATTACCATCCAATCCGAAGCCAACTGGCCAGCCTGTGGCGCATGCGCACACAGGTCGAACCTCAATACAAGGTTCGTCGAACCTTTCATTAAAAGTTCGAAAAAGTCGAACCTGGTCGAACTCGAACCGCGACCGGTTCGCGACACCCCTAGTTGTGATGCAATAAAAAGTTTGGAACGTTTTACAATCCGATGCACAAAAATATGTGTCAGTTGGAGCTTTTCTTTTTTTCTTTTTTCTTTTTTTTTTGCGCTAAAATAGCCCAATACACACGCATAACATACAAAGCAAGGCCATTTTTTTATTATTATTTTTTTTTTAACTTTGTCATATGTAGGGTTGCGCGTTTTCGGTTTCTATTTTTTCAAAATTCGGCATACTTTTTTCGGTGTTTATTTTAAAATGCAATTTTCGGTTTATTTCGGTGTATATTTATTTCCAAAAGAGCTTACCCGTTTATTACGGTGGATATCAAAGAAACACCATCGAACACCGGATCCGATGCTCTTGTAGCTGTGATATTTTGCTTGTTGTCGATCTCGTTTCTGTTCGTACGTGGTCGTTAGGGCAGTTAGGGTCGTTAAGTGGGCTCATTTTCGTCTTCTGCGCATGAGAAAGGAAGTAGCGGAGACGTCAGAACGCCGAGCCCTGATTGGCTGATCGCGACCCCCTATCTCAGCGTCGTCTGCCCATTTGCAACGTCATCTGCTCGCAACATCGTCTGCCTCTGTCTTACTATGGTGCCTGGAACGCGTCTCCGACTGGTGTGTTTACCGCGGCCAAAAAAGTGGTCCCTCAATTTCCGCCTGATGACGTCACAGAAGTGTCATGCTGTCGCCGGTCGCGACCCTGGTGGCGTCTCAACAGTTATGGTGACGTAGCAGATGCCTGTTCTGCTGCAGGTCGCTTTCCACTGTGACAGCTCACGGAAGCTAGTGCAGCCGGAAGTTGGGACGCCTAAAGGGACGCCGTGACGACAGTGACACTCGCGTTCGCTCGTGCTTTTTGCCAGCATTTCTACGGCCAACCGCCAGGATCGCGACAGGCAACAGCATGACACCCGCGTCATTTGTTGCCACATCGGGACCACTTTTGATGTATGGGCGGGATAGGACGCTAAACACACCAGTCGAAGACGCGCTCCAGGCACCATAGTCTTACCTTTCCTGCGACTTTCGGAAGTGCAGGTCTTTACGAGCGAACTCGACTTCGCCTTTCAGAGAGGGCAGATGAAATAACTCGAGCGGTACGTTGTTTTTGTCTAACAACTAGCAGACGCGCATCAAGGAGGGAAGTCAAAGGACTCACTGGCGAGGTGTCCCGACTCCCGATGCCCCGAGGTTTGCTTGCTAAGAACCGAGACTGAGCGTGTTAGTGTCCGCAAGTTCCCTCCCAAATACTTTTTCCCTCCATTCGTGTGCGGCGCAACCCCTTACTCTTTAACAGCGTAGGCGGGTTGGCGCAGTTAACGTCGTCTGCTTTACGTCTGCTAGTCAAAGCGATGGCTGCTTTACCTTTCCTGCGGCTGTTGGAGATTCACCGCTTTTTCACCGGCGAGTCACCGTTTCCTCGGGAAACAAGGAGATAACAAGAGGAAGAAATTGACCTCTTAATCTAAAATTGAGGTCAGCGATCAAAGTATAATACGGGAAGGGTTCACAAGGGTCGCGCGGGCATATTCCCTTCAGCCCACCAGCCGGTCGTGGGCAAACGATCACCGAGTCGCGGAGTGCCTGCTAGGCCTAACTGCCGAGCTCGCTTGGTCGCGTTTGGTGGAACCCTGGCCGTTGGAGCTTTTCCCAGGTGTTTGTGGATCCAGCGTTCTTGTTTGTCGTGGTCTGTTTCAAGTACTTTTTACTTTTTTCTTGCTGCTTGAAGTCGCAACGCGTGAGAAGCGCACGTAGAGAAATAAACGTCCGTGGGTCGTCGCGACCGCGGCGCTGTCGGCCATGCTGATTTGGTCGTAAGAAGTGCGTAAGACAGCTTCGGAGCTGTCGTAGGATTTTGTCGTAACCTGCGCAAAACTTAAAAAAATTTCGTTTCGTGAATACGAAATTGTTCTTAAGTTTTGTCTTACGCACATTTTTGCCGTAAGATCGTTTCGTGAATCTGGCCTCTGCACTTCCGAAAGTCGCAGGAAAGGCAAGACAGACGCAGACGACGTTGCGAGCAGACGACGTTGCAAAGGAGCAGACGACGCTCAGATAGGGGGTCGCGATCAGCCAATCAGGGCTCGGCGTTCTGACGTCACCGCTACCCCCTGCGCAAGAAGCAGAACCCAGGGATCCTGGGTTCGAGCCCCACCCCTGCCCGTTTCGATCTGGATGAGCATCGTACCGGCGTGCGGTCGTGTATCACTACTGCGTGATGCACGTTAAAAACCCCAGGCTAGCGGCTGTACCGCACTGGCTAAATTGCTCATCTACAGCTGGGAGACTCGTCGCCCCTGTGAGGCAGACCAAGTTCTAGGCTGTATAAACACACACACAACCCAATTATTATTAAGCGGACGAACTTGCCCTCCGCTATGTTTTGTGTTGGTTTATATATAACAAACATAATAATTAACCAAAGTTGATGCGCGAAACTTTCTGCAACATCATAAAATAAAAAAACTGCCATGGCTGCGCCCATCATCTGGCTGTCATGTCGTTTCCATCGTTTCTTCCACCGTGGGCTACGGCTCTGGGCTACTCCAAGGAGGTCTACATGACCTACGTCGCCTGCGGCCTGCGTCCCTTGGCAAGTTTGCTCCAATTTCTTATGTGTGCTCCGATATATGTGAAACATTTTGATGTAACCTTTGGGTACAAGCATCAAGTCTGATGTTATCGTGGTGCACATTTCGCTAGGGTGACCACCCGTCCCGCGACTCGCGGGACTGTCCCGCGTCCCGCAAGAAATTCCCAAATCTTCAAAATGTCCCGCATTTCACATTGTCGTAACATTGACTGCGCAAATTATGGCGCTTCCGAACGACAGGCAACGGGGAACCGCGGAGGTCGCTGATAAATGTGTGAATCTCGATGGTATGTCATTTTCTCGCCAAGCACTGCGCGAAGCAACCGTCGTTCTTGCAGAAGATTGACGCGCATGCGCCGCTGTGCCTCTCCCCTTTATGGCAAAATATTGCAAGCGAAAATTGCTCGCCAAAAGCTGAAAAAGAAACTATATTAATTAGTTCAAAATCATACTGTATCATGCGAAAGGGTTGTTGTGGAAAGCTTCTTTTTTTTAGTGAAGACGGCCACACAAGGCAAAAAACCTGCAACTCACAGCGGTCAGAAAAAAAAACAACAACAACATAAGGTTTTATTTTTGTGTAGGGGCATGTTAATATAAGACTAAGTATCGACAGGAAACAATAAGCCGAAAAATATTTACTATTTTTTATTTTCTTTTGATGCATTGGGGTTTGGTGCAGTCAATCTTTATGTTTTCAGCTTAGATACTTTAAATAAAATATTTACCTTTACAAGTAAACCAAAATATATCACTGTGAGTGAAACTTAGCTTAATTGCCGCATACAATTTTCAGGTGTATAATACGCTTTCGGACAGCACAGGGTTTCGCGGTGTGCGCGTTGGTGAATTTCCCTTAATACTTATTTTTGAGTCGTGAAAATACCGCCTTCCTCCCCCTTCCCCCTCCTTTTTCTATATATATATATATATAGAGAGAGAAAAAATATCTATATATATATTTATATATATATATAACAAATTACTTTGAACTAACAAAACATACACACACATCAAAACATTGGCCGAAGAAACATTCTTTGACCTCGCAGCCACTCTCATCTTTGCAAAAAACGAACAATTAAGTGAACCACACGGAACCGACTGCAGTTCGAACCCATCAACCTGTTACAAACGGAACAAGGTCATGACAAAGGAGGTACCTCTCGCGAAAAACACAGGACCTCTTCAATTCATACTCGCAGAAAAGCTTTCGCCCTATCACTAAGAAGCATAGACGCCTGGCTTATGCAATTGCCGATCGACCTAATTTTTACTGTCTCTTTTACAACCCTTTTGACGTCATTGACCTCTTTGCATACTACCATTGTACCGGACCACTCGGCTGAGCAGTTTCTGCATTCTTGTACGTGTGTCGCAATTTCAGAATTAGTCGCTTTTATCTTTACGTTTCTTTTGTGCTCAGTCAGACGATCGTTGAAGCATCTTGAGGTCTGCCCTATATACCTTAAACCGCAAGGCATCGGTATGTCGTAAACGACACCGGTTTCACAAAGCACAGATTTTTCCCTGTGGCCCTTTTGGCACCCTTTTTTCTCTCTTTGGAACGGGATGAGGTTGCCCAACAAGTCCAAGCTGAAAACCACATTAACGCCACATTTTTTTGCACACACTTT